ATTGGAGTTATTCCCCTTGGTTTCATTAATGCGATGCATGCGTTCCATGATGTTGTATTGCACTCATTGATCTACCAGTTATGTTGAATGATTTCTCTTTTAATATCAATTACTCACAAATACTTCATATGTTTCAATAATACAAACAACTGCTCATTCAATGTGTGATGGGCGTATTATATACTGCTCGCGGTAACCTTGTTCCTGGAGTAATCTCCCTTTACACTTTCTGCTCCAGAAACCTTGTAAGTGCAACTCCTCCTTAACTGTTTGTTGGAATTTTCTGTAACTTGGTACAGTTATAAAGTACGTCATATGTAGATTTGACTATTTTTCGTGGAGTTATGGCCCTTGTTACTTTAAAATATCTGCTCCAGAAACATTGCAAGTGCTAGAGGGGTTATATCTTTATGAGCTTGCTCACAGTTTCTCTAGTTGGTGTTAATTTGTTGCGTTGAAACTAGTTAGAATGCTAAAAATCAGCTTGCTATTACATTATCTTAATAATATAAAACCATCTTTGATATTAATTTATTCTGGACAAGTTTTTCATGGGTTGTCTTTGACGTTTTATTAGCTATATTTTCAGTACTGTATAAATATTTGTAGAATTTATTTAATTCCAAGTAATGGAATTTATCATGTCTGTTAAGTAGTAATGATGGGGGACTGATCAATCAGTCACCAGGACTACTTTTTAACATTTATAAACAATTTGTACATCCTTGTACGTATGTCAGGTGTAAAGCCATGATGTGAAATGAAACAGTTCAGTTAAAGTTTTAATGTACCCTGTTCACCAATGTCTGTCCAGCTTAGCTGTCACTTAAGGATCCCTGTCCTACTGAATTGTGGTATTTCATTTAAAAAGTTACCTCCCCATAATTTTGCTTTGGATATAATCCTAGCAGAGTTGAGCCAGAAGACTTCTGTCTACCAGGTACCTCAGCTGGGTAGTTTGGTTTGGTTTGATTTGGTTTAGTATTGTTTAACGCCCTATCAACAGCTATGGTCAGTTAAGGATGGCCTCCCCTGTGTGCAAGATGCATGCGTGTAGTGTATGCATGTGTGTTTTAGGAGGCTGCAATATGTTTTTGTTTGTCTCCTTGTGATAGTGCGGAACTGATGCCGACTTTATAGTGCTACCTCACTGAAACATACTGCTGAAGACACCCAGAAAAACACTCCACCTGGTCACATTATACTGACAACGGGCGAACCAGTCGTCCCACTCCTAAATTGCTAAACGTTAAGCAAGGAGTAGAAACTACCATTTTTACAGACTCTGGTATGTTTCAACCAGGGGACAGAACCCAAAGCCTTCCTCACAGGGGCAAACGCTCAAATAAGGCAAAAAATGAGGCATTGTCAAGGGAGGCATTAGGAAGAAGACAGTTGTTTAGAAAGAAGAGAAAAGATAAGATCCCAAGTTTAGTCGCCTCTTACAATCATGCAATGGGGGAAGCAGGTACAATTCTTACAGACTTAACCCCTGAGTCATAACATATCCTCACCCCAAAACTACATAAACAATTGCTTGGCATTAAGAGATGAATGCAGTCATGATATTCGAATGACCCTGGGGTCTGGCCATAACCCTAGTTGACCCTGGGGTGTGGCCACAACCCTAGTTGACCCTGGGGTCTGGCCAAAAATCTAGGGGACCTAGTTTTTGAGTCACAACTTAGAAACAGTTAAGATTCCCACCCCATAGCCATACATTAAACTGCTAGGCATGAACAATCTAATACAGATATTCTACAAGGATTGTCCTTGGGGTCTGGCCCTTTCCCTGGGATCTTTCTTGGAGAATATCCTGCCATTATCGCTCAGATATCCAGGTGAGCAATACAGGCCCTCTGGGCCTCATGTTAAATCCTCATGATTCCAAGGTACATAATTGAATTGTATTACATGTGATGTCAAAATGATATACTACTCGCAGCTGTTTACTGACCATGAGATAAGGAAGAGTGATGTTTTTTGGTGCAATACCCGATAGTTATGTTCTTAACCCTTCCACCACTGTGGACCATAATTGACTCATCCAGGTCAATATATGGTAGAGTTTAATAAAGTTACATAGGGGTGAAAGGGTTAAGATGTATTCACCTTTTTACCTCTTTGTTCATTTCTCTTTTCAGTTTTGATCCTTCCCTTATCTATATTTTTGTGGGTTTTTTTTGTTATTTTTTTCCATGCAATTGAATAATTATTGATCATGTAATTGTGTGATTTTTTTCTACAGTGTGCAGATTTACTGTGACTGTTTAACAGGCACCCTCGCTGTGAAATCCATATTTGCCAATATGAGTTTCATCCTTTACTTGATATGACTTTATGTAATGTACTGTGTATTCTTCATATTCGTTGTCAAGATAAATTTACCGTCATTACAGAGGGCAAAAAATGTCCTGACAGACAGTAGCTGTTAACAGCATTTATTATGTAAAGAGCAGTACAATCCCTAGTTTCACAAACGTTGGTGACATTAAGGAAGTTCTACACAGCGTAGTTTCTTCCATTGAGGAAGATTGCTGGAGTTTAGGAAAAAATATTTAATAGCAGCAGTATTTTTTCTCAACTTAGAAATGGTAAAAACTTATTTATAGAACTTTCTAAAGTATAAGGCATTGGTAAAACAAGGGACTGATATGAATACAATTGTAAATTGTATTTTTAGCTCACCTGGCCCGTCGTCTGTCATGCGTCAACTTTTTCCTTTAAAACGCTACTGGTCCTGAGCGGCTCAGAGGATTTTGACCAAATTTGGTCTGGAGCATCATTGGCCAAAGGGTTCTCAGTTTTGTATAAACGGAGGGTATGGTCCCCCTGGGGGCAGAGGGGCAGGGCCAAATAGGGGGAAAATAGATAAATCTTTAAAAATCGTCTTCTTCTCAACCAATAGAAGGATTTTATCCAAATTTGTTCTAGAGCATGTTTGGACAAAGGAGCCTCAAGTTTGTATAAATAGAGGGTGAGGGTCCTCTGGGGGGCATAGGGGCGGGCCCAACAGGGGAAATAGTGGGCTTTTTTTCTGCTACTAAAAAGCGAAGGGATTTAAACTAAATGCAGTCTGAAGCATGCTTAGGGACAAAAGAATCAATTTTGTTTAAACTGAATTGTGTGGACACCCTTCTTTGGGGCAGATGAGTGGGGCCCATTAGGGTAAATAGAGGAAAACATTAAAGATCCTTTTCCTTCTGTACTGTTGAAGGGATTTTCACCTAACCAAACTTGTTCTAGAGAAATTTTGGGCAAAGGGAATTGAATTGAATATTTATCAATGGAAGATGTGCCCCCCCCCCCCCCCAAATCAGGCAGAGGAGCAGGGCCCAATAGACAAAATAAAGAAAAATATTTCCCTTCTGTACAAATGAAGGGATATAAATCAATTCGTTTAATTTGTATAAAAGGATGCATGTGAGGCCCAATAGGGGAAATAGAGGAAAATTGGGACATAACATGGAAACTCATTTTTTTGGTGTCTTTCCCACCAAAACAGATTTATATGTAGTTCTTCTTGCAACTTTGTTTCTTGTACTCCTTTGATACACCTGAATGGTACTCAGCAAGTTTTGAATTGAAAAATAAAATTCCCGGTGAGCTATTAAGGCCCCTGGGCCTCTTGTTATATTTCTATACCAAGACTGTGTGTTTTACCTTATTTTCTAAAATTAACATCCTGAGGTATTGCAATTTCCTAAAAGGAAGGATGACATGAAATGTTTGTTATTTAAAAGTACAGAGCAAGTGACTATGATATTACTGATGAAAGTTGTAAAGTAAAATCTACAAATCATTTTTAGCTTGCCTTGCCGGAGACTAAGATTTACAGTGGTCATTAAACATGTGTCATATGTCTATCAGAATTCCTTTTAATTGTTATTTCTTAAGAAATATAAACAAATTTTGATGTGATTTCAATCTAGACAAGAGGTATAGTATTGATTTGGCCGTCCAACCTTGCAACCTTAATCTCAATTTGT